GAAACTTTGACGGTCGACCGTGGCGGTCGATCGTGAGAAAAATATCAGCAAAAACATTGTAAAATCTGGATTTTGAGAAAAGTTTGATTTGGATCATTAAATAATTTTGTTTTATAAAAATTATATCTATATATAAAGCTTTTACTTAGTAATCCATGAAAAACATTTTATTTTGTCTTAACATCAAAGAAAATAAACATTTAAGCTTAAAAACTAATTATTCAAAAAACAAAAACAAAAATGTGAAATAAAGCTCATTTTGATACCCAAATCATTTTGATTCCAATAATATTTGGGACATGACCCCTATCATGTAAATCCAAGGATCTAGGGTTATGAACCCGCTTGGGGGTATTTTGTGCACCGATACGATCAAAACAAAAATCGTAAACATGACCCATACGATTACAATTTGTGTAATATAGGGGTTTGAATGGTTTGCGTTGACCGAAATGATATGCACGTGGTTCATTTGTAAAAATAGATTTTTCTTTGTAATTATTTTGCAAACGAGAATTTCTTTTCAAATCAAAACAAAACATGGCCAAATGACCAAAACGACCACAATAATCACATTTGTACACATGAGTATGTTTATGATTTACACTATGTGTGTGTACATGTGTATGAGATGAAGAAGCTTGATGGGATGCACAATCATAAATAAGCTTGTCAATTTTTGTGCATTATGACAAAATTGGGCTAAATGGCCTTTAAGACCACATATAGAACATTTATGAATTTTGTCATACATGTGTGCATAGTGAATAGGTTTCTTAGAAGAATTAACATTGAACTTTACACGAAAGTCCATAAGCTTTTTGTTATTAGCAATACAATTGTTTAGTGTTGACTCTAAGGTAGATATGCGTTTTCTCATTTGATTCAACTCATCATTATGCATACAAGCATTGCTACTAGAAGTAGGATAAGCATGATTATTTATCATAGATTTTAATTTATCTACTTCTAACATAGCATCACATTTTTCATGAAGCAACTTAGCATTTTCTAATATCAAATTTTCATTGCATTCTTTAAGAATTATATTTTCATTTGCAATGAAATCAAACTTAGTGACTAGTGTTTCATGAGTGGATTTTATATTAACATACTTACTTTTTACATCAATATAGCAATTGTATAATTTTTCAAACTCAAGAGCAAGCTCATCAAAAGTAATAACATCATCGTTGTCAAGCTCGCATACATCACTAGAGTTATCACCTAGTGGTAGTGTACATGGAGATGAGACTTCTTCAGAACTCAAAATGGGATTTTCCAACGCTTGTTGAATAGCCTCCAAGTCCCCTTGATGTGCTTCAATAAATTTCTATAAGGTGTAAACACTATCAAAATGAGCAAATTTGTTAGAATAAGATGAGTGAAAGGCACTAAGCAAATATTCTAACAAAAGTTTGTTCATATTAAACATTCTTTTATCATCTTTATTCCACTTGGATTTTTCCGAAGTAGGAACAATATAAGCATCCTCAATAAATTCCCATAAATCGAATTGTTTAGATTGAACAAAAAAGTTTGAATCTAACACACCATTGAGCATAGGGAAAATATCCAAATGAGGAGCAACATTAATAGCATAACCTAAACTAGATGCATCATACATATCCATAATGATTATATGCAAGAAGCAAAATATAATCAAAACTAGATTAGCACAAAAACGATAACTTCATATCCATAATGATTATATGCAAGAAGCAAAATATAATCAAAACTAGATTAGCACAAAAACGATAACTTAGATCTTTAACTCAATGCGATTAGACCTTAAATCAAAGAGCACCAAGCTCCGATACCAATTGTTAGATCCTAGAGGGAGGGGGGGGTGATTAGGATCTTATGCTAATCTAATCCCGATTAACTTCCAATTAAAATTATATTGATTAATTTGTTATTGCAAGAAATATATGAGATGGATATGAACAAGAAAGATAAGAATAAGCACAAATAAAAATATACGCTAAGCAGAACACAAACACACGATATGTTTACGAGGTTCGGTCACCACGACCTACGTCCCCGCTCCTCACCTCGAGGAGATCTCCACTATCACAATCCGGTTTGGAAACTAGAACTTCTATCACCGAAAACTCTCACACTACACAAATACTATGCAATCACACTTTACACACTAAGTGTAGGAACCTAGTCCGTGTCCTCCTTCTCAAGTGCTCGGATACAACCTCTCCCTAGGTTCGTCAACCGACACCACTCCTATTGGATTCGACCCCGTCTCACGCCTCACACTTCTCTCGGTGTACAAGTGTATTACAAGTGATACTCACAATAATGGTTAAATATAATGATTTGTTCTCGATAACAAATGAGAATACAATGAAGCTCACTCTCACTAAATCACACACCACTACCCAACAATATATAGTATAGAAATATTATAAGCTCAATACAGTGTGTGTGATAACAGTGAATAGAAAATATGCAACTCAATTTAAATATAGCTAAGTTATGAAAATGAATCAATAAGCTATATAAGAAAGAGTTTAGAAAACTTCTCAATAAACAAGAAGAACAGTAGATGATGATGAGGATATGATCCTCAGTTGGAATTGAAAGCCTCTTCTTGTTGTAGAAAACTTCTTTTGAAACAGACAACCAAAATCAGCTTAAACAGTTCTTAAACAACTCTTAATCTTTTGTTAAAAACTCACTGTAAAATAAACTCTTGGTATATAGAAAGAAGAAAGCAATGGGGTATTTATACCCACTCAAGACATCAGCCAAAACAACATTGAAAAGACCAAAATACCCCCAGAGAATTAAATCAGAATGTAGCCGTTGCAACACAATCATTTATACGGCGATCGACCATGAGAAACTGCGGTCAACCGCGAAGCACAAAGAACAGTTCAAAGAGCTTTGAAACGTTTTAAACCTGTTTTAGGCTGATTTGAAAATACATTAAAAATATTAAACAATTTCCAAAAATAGTAAAATTTTGGGAACAGTTTCTAAATGATAAAATAAACATGTTTGAAAAGGAATTTTTGGAAATGCAATTTTTATTTGTGAAAACTCACTGTTTTTGAAAAGTGTTCATAAAACATGTTTTTCATGAACACAAAAATTGAACTATGACTTGTAAACTTGTGTATATATATCAATATATATATATATATATATTATGAAGTATGAAAGAGATGTAAACATAAAATAAAAGCTATTGTAACAAAGTTTGATAGAAAATCATTTGTATGATAGAAAAAGTCAAACTTGTGTTGTTTTTACATATTGAGCTTAAATATAATCATATGATATATGTAAGCAAACTACTCTTATACCTAGGTGAATGCACACACATGAACTTGAATCTTTAACTCTTGATTGCCGTGTGTTGAATTCCTGTAAAGAGAAAAACAAACCACAAAAACTAGAAAACATATTAGCTATAAATTGTTTGATAAATCATCATCAAAACCATAGGGCCAACACTCTTTTCTACCATATGAACTATATTTTTTTGATACTATTTTTGTTTCTCAAATCCCGGTTGTATCCGCATTTACATTCACATATACATCCCCATGTATCTATATCTATATCCGATTTTAGCGGTTACGAGTATGAGTTTTCCTTACCGAGGCATGCTCGTATCTATATTTATGAACAACAAGCGGATATGAATGTGGTAAGTATGACATCTGAGCCATATCCGAACTATTTCCACCTCCTAGTTGTCACCATACAGGTGGGTAGCATTATGACAACTAGCATGGTAAACAAGTCCTGTCGCCTCATGAAAAATCTCTCTCCAGAGAAACCCTAGATATGAATTCTCATATTATATTTTACATCGTTCATCCCTGTAAATCAGTGATTTTAGTTTTGAAGGGTCCGAGACATTATTCGGATGCTTGTTATTTGAGCGCAGCCTTTCAGTCAGTGGTGACAAACTACTTCTCAACAGAGCATTTCATCCCTATGCTTGTTATTATTCGGGCATAATTTTGCTTTGGCTTTGGAGCTCAATTTTCCTTTATTGTGAACGTTTCTTGTTTTGAGCAATTACAGCTTTAATTGAGATCATAAGGTCTTAAATATAGGGGCCCTACAAGAACTACTAAAGGTAGTGATAATATAAATTTGTTTAACTTTCAGAGATATACTAAATATGGGTTATGTTTTAATTTGAAATCCAACTGAGGCATGTGAGCTAATTTTCCTTTAAAAATAGAATCGAATTACTGATAGATATATGTAGCTTGTTTGCCGCAAATTTGGATCCTCTTCACTACAAAAAAGTAGTGGAGAGACCACTACTTTTAATCTCAATCGTTGATTACTTAGTATGCAGTTATGATACAATCTAAATCTAACACTCACCATACCTCCATGTATTGTACAATTTTCTAATTTGCACTCAAAGAAAAAATCACAACCACCAACTAGATAATCAATGATTGTGATTATGTAGTGGTCCATTCACTACTTTTTAGATAGTGAAGAGGATCCGAATCCTATTAGTCGCATTACCGTCACTAATATATGGAAGTTTTAAATTTTTAATCATTAAAACGTGTTTTTTAAGAAGACGTAGAGGACCATAGATACATACCAATATGGTTATCAAGTATCTATATATCTAATAGGGAACTTTTATAGAGACAAATATAGATTGAAATATCTAGATCCGGATATATCTGAACACATGTCGATAATATAGTAGCAAACTTACATATGTTTCAACCACTAAGTTAATTCTTTTGAGATTATTTTTGATAATTCAGATATCTGAACTTAGATTTTTTTGGATATGCCTAATATATTGTTGGACTCTGTTGCATCACATGATCTGTATATTTTTCAATCCCATATGTTATTTCCCAGCATATTCACTCTGCATTGATAGCATTTAATCTGTAACCATATTCATAACCATGTGTTTTGACAGATATACATATAAGTTTTCCTTACCAAGATTGTTCATATTCTTATCCATTTTCGTGATTAATAAGCAGAAACGAAAGTGATGAGCATCATATCCAATCCGTGTCTGATGCATTTGCACCTCTGCCTCTAATCGTTTAGCAAGGATTATCTTGTGGGTCTCAGCGCCCCCCCACCCCCGCACACACCCCCACCCCAATTTGATAGTCATCTAGACTATTGCAGACTATCATTGTATTTTAATCATAGCCGAGATGTTTGATATATCAGCAAAATGTTGGATAGCAGGTTCCTAATATGTTTCCTAATTTGTTTTTGTAACAGGTTATTGAGATTCCTAATCTGTTTTGGTAACGTGATTCTAAATCTGTTTTGGTAACATGTTATTAGGATTCCTAATTTGTTTTGTTTTTTGTTTAAGAATTTCTAGTATGTTTTTGGTTTTAGGATTTTTATATATATGGAACGATTGGAAGAGAGAATGAGCAGCGAATTTGGGATATTTGCAGCACAGAAAAGATGTATTTTCTGAGCTATTGGTTAGGGTTATATTTATAGAGAATTAGAAATTTGTTTGTGAGATTAATTAGTGAGTTCGAGTGATTTGTAATCTCAGTTTGTACTCTTCTTCTCTATTAGTGAAAACTCCATCCCCTTCCTGCCCTATGGACGTAGCCAACTTGCCAAACCATGTTAAAATTGGTTGTTTGAGTTTGTACCGTTATTTTGATTGTGTTTGGCTTCTCTCGGCATTTGTTTGATTTGGTCTCTCGAAGCACATCGGTTTGGTTTTGGCTTCCGCCGCGCACAACACAAGACACCAGTTAAAAAGTCAAGAATACAAAGAGATGCAACAATCGGTGCACCGAACAGGATTAATAAAAACATTTAACTAAGTAGCTACAACCTCCAAATGATCAATAATGATTTATAGACTACGTGAAAAAACATTTAACTAAGTAGCTACAACCTATAGATGATCAGTAATGATTTATAGACTACGTGAAAAAACATTTAACTAAGTAGCTACAGCCTACAATGATCATTAATGATTTATAGACTACGTGAAAAAACATTTAACTAAGTAGCTATATTAAAAAAAACATTTAACTTAGTAGCTACAGATGGTCAGTAATGATTTATAGATTGTTGGATTTTTTGGTCAAAACCGCTTTCCAAAATAAGTTTTTAAACTATATATATATTAACTACAAATACTTTTCATAAATGCTTAGTAGCCTAGTGGAAAGTTAAATGTTTTTGTGTTTCAAAAGGTCTATTGTTCGAGGCTTGCCAACGGCAAGCCGAGAAATGTTTTATTTGAATTAATCAATCATAAGTTCTCGTGAGCCGTGGGCCAATGGGCCGGGGATCGGGGTTAATCGGGCTGAGACGCTAAGTGGCACTTTGTTAGGAGCACGGAGGCATCGGGGCGAGGCGTTGCCTGCCACTATGGTCGCCACGAAGGTTGCCTCACAGGCTACTTCGCAACATGCGGATGAGCTACGCATTCGCACGAGGGTGGGACTCTAGCATTCTCAAAGTCAGACGAGGTTCGTTTGATTCACAAGATCAGACGAGGTTCGCTTGTCATACGAGGTTCGCCTCTTTGACAAAGTTCACTCGTTCGACGAGGTTCGTTTGTCACACGAGGTTCGTCTGTTTGACGATGTTCGCTCGCTTAACGAGGTTCGTCCGTTATACGAGGTTCGCCTGTTTGACGAAGTTCGCTCGTTCGACGAGGTTCGTTTGTCACACGAGGTTCGCCTGTTTGACGAGGTTCGTCTATCATACGAGGTTTGCTTGTTTGACGATGTTCGCTCGTTCGACGAGGTTCGTTTGTCACACGAGATTCGCCTGTTTGACGAGGTTCGTTTGTCAAACGAGATTCATATGATTTGCTGAGATGTGACCCTCGCGTTTCGTAGCAACGCGTCCATTGGTTGTCTCGTATTCAGGAGTTACTGTATGCAACAGTTACAACAATATTTAGAGTAATTTAATTCTTTGATGTTACAATCTTAATTGCCATTTAGAATTGTAATAGTCACATTAATTGCAAGTGACTCTTGAGCTGGCCTTAGAGGCCTATAAATAGAGCCATTGGTCATCTTTTGAGAGACACATGCGAGCTTAAAAAACGAACGTCAGATCGACGTTGTTGTTGTTGTTGTGCTGCTGCTGTAGAATCTGTGCCCGTAGGAACTTATCTTTAAACTGAAAGGTTTTGAACCGAAAGGTTCTGAAATCGAGGAGATCTTTGCCTTGATCGAAAGATATTATAGATCGAGGAGATCTTGACAGTACTGGGTGGGTGCACACCAGACTACTATATTGCTGTTCCTGGAAACAGTTTGGCCTTGGGATCCTTGCATCGGAGTAGGCCAAATATTGTTTTAAGCACATGGTTTCACAAACGCACAACAGTTAACTTGAAAAAGTTTAAAATTACAGTACATCATTATTTACTGTTTAATTCCAGATTTAACCATAATTTATAATAATCTTAAAGCAATATTTTTGATCTACAATGGATCCTGTGAGGACTCTTAGAGTGGACTGTCTCAAGTTAGAAAACTTTGATAGATCTAACTTTAACGCATGGCGTCGAAAAGTGATTTTTGGGATGCAACTCCTAAAAATCTACTATGTGGTTTCTGAAGAGAAATCTGACTTTGGAGAAGACTCTGAGTCTGAAGCTTCTTGGGCTAAAGATGATCATTTCTGCAGGAGTTATCACCTTAACTGCCTGGCTGATTATCTGGTAGATGCTTACACCAATAAGCCCTCTGCAAAGGAAATTTGGAATGCTCTAGAGGAGCAATACAAGGATAAGGAGAAGCTTTCCAAGTCTCACCTCATTGACAAGTTTCAGGACCTCAAATTCGAAGATGACACCGAGATTTTTCCTCAAGTCAAAGAGCTCGAAAAACTTGTTATGAAGCTGAAGGATGAAAAGATTAATCTTTGTCAAACATTCATTTCTGGAGCAATTGTCAATAAGCTTCATCCATCTTGGATGTCATTCTCCACGGACATTCGAAGAAGGAAAAGATAGGTGACTCTGTCTAATTTGAAGAGGTTCATTCGGATCGAGGACGAGATTCAGACTCGCACGAAGAATGAGCTCATAGCTAAGCAGAAGGCGTCTGCTAACATAGTAGTTACTAACTCTGAGAAGGGTACCAGTTCTTCTTCTAAGAAAAAGAAGTCTTTTAACGAAAAAAAAAGAATCATAATGCGAAGAACCTGAATGCTCAGAAGAAAGATTTTAAGAAGAGCGGCAAATGCTTTAACTATGGGAAGCAAGGGCATTTTGCCAAGGATTGCAAAACACCAAAGAATGGAACAACACATAATGTTAATCAACTTGACAATTGTGTGGCTATGTTCTTTCAAGTGGCAACTCCCAACAACATCTTTGGTTGGTGCTTAGATACAGGTACTACTTGTCATGGCTGCTCCAACAGAGATTTGTTCACTTCCTATGTTACTACCAAAGAGAACGTATCAATAGATGATCGTTCTGTGGTTCCTGTTCTTGGAACTGTGACTGTGGTGCTGACTCTTTCTTCAGGGAAGACTCTCACATTGAAGGATGTAAAACATGTTCCCTTAATTGCTAAAAACTTAGTCTCTGGAAGCCTGCTGTGTGACGCCGGTATGAGGCTGGATTTCCAAGGAGGAAATGTTATGTTATCTTTTAAGAAAATATATTTTGACAATGCATATCGTACTGATGGCATGTATAATATCAGTATTATTGTACCCAACTCAATTGTAAATAAAGTATTCCCTTCTGCTTACTCCTCTGTATTATGGCATAATAGGCTAGGACATGTAAATTATAGAAAGTTGTCTAGCATGGAGAAGTTAGGATTACTTCCGAAATGTAGGGGTAACAAACCTGATAAGTGTGAAGTCTTTGTCTAGCATGGAGAAGTTAGGATTACTTCCGAAATGTAGGGGTAACAAACCTGATAAGTGTGAAGTCTATGCGCAAGCAAAGCTGACAAGGAAGTCATTTTCAAGTGTCATAAGGAACACCAACCTATTGGATCTGATTCACTCAGATACTGGTGATTTCAAGAGCTTCATCACTTGAGATGGCATTAAGTACTTTATCACCTTCATTGATGACCACTCTCACTTCTGCCATGTCTACCTGCTGAAATCTAAAGATGAATCATTCAACAAGTTTGTCGAGTTTCGGACTCGAGTGGAGAAGTAGCTTGGACTTCGGGTGAAAAGACTCAGGAGTGACAGATGAGGAGAGTACCGATCTAAGAAGTCGGAGGCATACTTCAAGGAGTATGGAATCATTGCTGAAACTACTGCTCCGTATTCTCTGCAATCTAATAGAATTACAGATAGGAAGAATCGCACATTGACCGAGATAGTAAATTCGATGCTAATCACATCCGATCTACCTACATGCTATTGGGGAGATGCTTTGCTGATGGCAAACTGGATTCTGAACAGAGTACCTTATTCCAAAACTGATAGTACTCCTCATCAGTTATGGTTGGGATATCCAGATCCTTTGGATAGTCCCAAAGTGTGGGGGTGTCTCGCATATGTTCGAGTTCCAGATATCAGAAGGCCTAAGCTCGGACCAAAGGCAAATAGATGTGTGTTTCTTAGCTTTGTTGAAGATAATGATGCTTGCAGGTTCCTTGATCTTGGAATCAACTCCATCATTGAAGCTCGGGATGTAGAATTCTTTGAGAATAAGTATATTAAAGATAAAAGATTATTGCTCAAAGATATAGCAGAGAATGCTAGTACGTCAGATGAACCAGAAGGTTCAGTTTCCCAAGAAACTGAAAGTGTCAGTGATGAAGGAGTTACCGAACCATCTTCCAAGCGTGTCAGGAGACAGATAGATTTTGGAGATGATTTCATCACCTATAATATGGAAGGAGATCCACAGACTTTCTAAGAAGCAATACAGTCAACAGACGCTCTCCTGTGGAAAGGAGCTATAGATGATGAGATGGATTCATTGATCCAAAATCACGCGTGGGAGCTGGTGGATGTACCTGAATGTGCTAGGCCTATCAGTTGCAAGTGGATCTTTAAGAAAAAGCTTCGTCCTAATGGTACTATTGAGAAGTACAAAGCAAGACGGGTAGTGAAAGGATTCTTTCAGAGAGAAGAAATAGATTTCTTTGATATATATGCACCAGTTTGCAGGATCACTACCATCAGAGTACTTATTTCATGGGCGACGATAAAAAGGTTCGTCATACATCAGATGGATGTAAAGACTGCCTTTCTCAATGGAGATCTCACAGAAGAGATCTACATGGAGAAACCAGAAGGACTTGATGTTCCAGCTG